GGATCGAACATGTGCTGCATAGACTGTGGATTGCTTCAGAGTGTGGTGCTTAACCCCTTGAGCCTCCAGGGGGGCCCTTTATTGCTGATTTTAAAGAACAGTTCCCTGTTTTGGGAACTAATGTGTTAATAAAGTTTGCCTGTGTTAGTTATACAAGCTAATATGTTAGTGTTTTTTCTCTAAAGAACTAAAACATATCACAAAATTTAAAATAATTATACTCGCAGCCCTCCCTGGTGGTGCAAGGGATTAAGTCTCAGCACTAGGAAGCTATCCACTGCAGCACTATTTCAATCCAGACCAGGGAACTGACCCACAGGGCGAAGCAGACCTTTCCTATCTCACTCACTGCTCCCCTCAGCAGTGTATTTCAGTCAATCCGCCTGTTCTGGTGCCCACTCTGTCTCTGGTGAGTCCCTGCACCTCTGGCCTACACCCTAGCTCTTGTATGCATAAATAAATAAAATAAATCTTTAAAAAAAAATCACGATGGGTGCATCAAACTTAGCAAAATTCCTAAACACAGTACCTAGTAACTGTATCATGTTATCTAATTATTTTTATTATTGTATTATTAAAACATAAAGTATCATATCAGTTTATTTAAAAAAGACATTTGATGAAGAGTCAACTGAAATATGACTTTCACATTTTAGGACTACAATGAAATGTCCACATTTTAATGAAACAATATATTATCAACACTAACATTCATTCTAGCATTATTCTGTAATCTTAGCTAAAGAAAACAGAGTGAAAAAAGAAATATCAATTGGCAATAAAGTGGTTGGAATAATTACTTGCAAATGATAAGGACTAGACACATAGACTATTGAAGAAAATCAACCAAGTATTTATCACAACTCATGAGACTTCATTAAGAAGGCCAGATACAATGTTCGTATATTCATCAAAATTAGGTGGAAAAGGGGAATCTGTAGCTGGATCCCTATCTCTGCCCAACCCAAATCTTATCCTATCATAAGCTACTTAGTAATAAAGAATGTTTTGTCAATTAAATCTCAATAAAAAAATTAAGATACATAAAGTATTTTATACAATGTTTACAGTAGCTTATATGTTGTCACTTGGAATATGATATTGTGTTTTTGTAACTTTAGATGAACCTAAACTAGAAAAATGCTACATTGTTTCAACTAAAATACTGTCCCAAAATATAGTCAGTATCATTTTTTTTTAAAGTTTATTTATTTATGCATACAAGAGCTGGGGTACAGACCAGAGGAGTGAGGGGTGAGAGGATTCACCAGAGACAGTGGGGAACAGAACAGGTATATTGACCAAAGTACACTGCTGAGGGGAGCAGCAGCCCAGTCAGGAGAGGTCTGCTGCGCCATGTGGGTTCTTCCTGGCTGGCCGGGAATCGAACTCGTGCTGCAGAGGCAGACAGCTTCATAGATTGCTTCTTAAACCTTGCACCACCACCACCAATAAGGCCCCGTGTATCACTTTTTAAATTTGGTTTTAACTCTTAATTTGACTAATCTGTGATATCCTTCCCACCTAAACCCCCACCATAGAAATTAAGTGAAAGCTGACTGTAGATCTGTAAGATTACTTCTGCCTCCACTCTTGTTATCCTCCTGTCCAGAATAAATTCATGTTTAGTTTGCTAATCACTTGGACCTAATACAGTTGTTCATGTCTAAGCATATGAACTTTAAGGTTTTAACAGAAAATTCAGAGGCATTTAGTCATTTGCCAAACATCATAGAAAGATGATTTAGTTCCAACCTATATCCTAAAAAGTCTTTTTTCATGACACTACCTGCTTTCCAACAGCAGTCTTGTTTCTCAATAATATTAAATCTTGACAGGGAATTAACATAACTACTGAACTAGCAATCCTTTTAGCAAAATGTTCACTCATTTCATTCATCAAATATTTACTGAAACCTACTAGGTGCAAGGGACCGTTACAAGTCTCAGGGAAAACAAAAGAGGTAAAGCACCAGCCTTTAGGAACTTTTTATTTTATTCAACTTAGAGGGATGCATTTAATGTAAACAGCATGTAGCTCACTTCAATCTATTAATTTGGTCCTTGGGAGGAAGCTTTCTGATGCTGCCTTAAAGAATCCTCATTTGGAACCTGCACTTATGTACCAAATGTCAGAGATCTAAGGATCCTACACTTAGGTAGGATAACAAAGAACAAAGGTTAAAGATACAGGTTGAAGACCACAATTAGGGAGGATTTAACTGTAGCTAATCCGCTGCCAATTCCACCTCACTTGAATCTTCTAAACCTCAGAACAGTAACTCTCTCCACAGCTGGTTTTTTGTTTTTTTTTTTTTAAGATTTATTTATTTAAGCATAGAAGAGCTGGGGTACAGGCCAGAGATGTAGTGGGGGGGAGGTGAGAGGATTCACCAGAGACAGAGTGGGGAACAGAACAGGCAGACTGACTGAAGTACACTGCTGAGGGGAGCAGTGGGAGAGACAGGAGAGGTCTGCCTCGCCATGTGGGTTGATCCCTGACCAGCCAGGGATGGAACTCTGCAGAGGCTGCAGATTGCTTCATAGTGTGGTACTTAACCCCTTGCGCCACCAGGGAGGCCCTCTCTCCACAGTTTTACTACATCTTGTAACTCCCTGCCAAACATGACCAATCAAGAAAAGACCTCATGAGAGGAGAAGATAGCCTGCTGCCTTATACTGTGACAAGCTACTTTGTAGGTACACAAAAAATAAAACCCATGAAAATTTTGTGGTGCACTGCTTTTAAAAAACAGGATTAATAGCAATCATACACTCTTGGGGGGGGAGGGAGACTTTCAATTGTCAGAAAATAGTTTATTCAAAATTGGTATTAGACATGGGCATACACACACTATTTTTAAGGAAAGCACAAAATAGGCTAAAATAGTGTTTATGAGATATACACTAGACGTCTCTAATTTTACTGATAATTCATAAATTTTCTAAGTGAAAACTGAGTTTCACTTTTGTTTCTACAGAAATATGACGTTCACTTCCTAGTCAGTAGTTTCAAAACTACTTCCTACTTACTCACTTGGGTAGATTTAAATCTATCAATTTGTTTCAAGTAGACGGTTCAAAGTATTTGTACTCACATACAAATTTTTCCAATAGTCCTAATATAGGTAAAAAAAAAAAAAAAGTAATAGTACAGTAATATGGAAAAAAAACATTTTAATTTCCTTTAAAGGCACATAAATAACATTGAAGTAAAAATGCATTATAGTCCTTAAAAACTTTCCTCAATATCAGGGAAATGATCTGACACACACACACACACAAAAAAAGCATCATAATGGTAATATTTTGGATACAACTACCCCCTTTATATAATGAGGTGAGTGGGCGTTATTAAACTAGGGAATTTGAAGATGAAACTAGGAATTTGGACTTGACTGCTACGATCACTGACAGTAATTTGATTTCTGAGCCTACACTTTATAAACTAGGCAGATCTGCATTATCTGATTCTACACTAAAGAAGTACTTCAGTCAAAAATCAATTTTAAAAAGCACACAAACTTGTTGCCTTTCTTTAAATTTGAAATGTGAAAAATACCAGCCATTTTTTCCACTTTCAAACAGACAGGCTTTATATTCAACACCGAAGAGAACTGCAAACACACACGACACCAAACCTATTAAATACTGCTTAGCATACATACACATGACTATGATAACCCTCTCTTAAGTATTAACACTTTATCACATACTCCATATCAAAAACTCGATGTTGCAGGTATTCAAAAAAGAATAGAGGGGATTAGGAGACAAACTGTTTTAAACGCTCATTATGAAATCTAAAATTATTTCACTGCAAAAAAATAAACTGCAATCTGTAATAACTTTCTAAAAGTCACCAGTAAGTTAACACACCAGTGTTCCAAACACAACTTTCCCAAAGTGCCTAAAATAAATGATGCACTATCCTTGCTTTCCAAAATTTTTGAGCATCTTCAGTTCCCCTCAAGTTGTATGATAAAATTCTAAAAATAATCTCAAAAAACAAAATTCAGCAGGTTGTGAGGATATACCTAGGACACTTAAGACCACAGCCCCATTCCAGAATCAAGACCAGGTAGGTAGTCTACAACTACAGCCAAGCTACCATAGGGCGGGGCATTCATTACTTCATCCAGATAGACCAAACAACAGCTCTGCATGCTGCTTACCCCATAATTCCCACACGAGCACGACCACCGCAATGTTTTCCTTTGGCCCAAAATGTTTTTCACGTAAATGACCAAAAAAAAAAAAAAAAAAAAAAAAACCACGAAAAACCTAAGTCATAGTCAACACTCTCCAGCCATCAAGCCATGATACTGCACTTGAGATTCTGAAATCAGAGTCCAGAATAAAAGACGCATCTCCCACTACGCACGATGCAAGATCTAAAGTTTCACCAACCTGCGGGGGTGATCGGAGCCGTGTCTGCTTACGAGCCACCCTCCGAAAGTGACTGAGGCAAGAGTAAAGGGTAAAGGATGGAACAAGGTCAAACTTAGGGGACAAAGATTCCTAGAATAAACGTGGCCAGGGAGGTTTCCTTCCTCGGGGCGCAGTTTCTATTTCCTGAAAAAGAAGCAGAAACAGCACCAGGAACCCGGCAATTCCACACCTTCCACAGAGCTCACCTGGGCACCTGCCCCAGGCCAGCTGTGGGCGTGCGGCGGAGCCCCTTCTGCAAACCTGCAGGCCTCGCACGCGCCTACCCCCCAAACGCAAAACGTGCTCAGAAGGGGTGACAACGGGCGACTCTTTCAAAGCGAGGACGCGAAGGAGAAAGTTGAAGGAGGATGCCGAGGAGAAGCGCCGGCATGTGAGCGTCGCTCCCACCCCGGGCACAGCCGGGCACCTGAAGACACTCGGCCAGAGGAAGCGGATCGCAACCCGCTAACTAACTACAGCCCGCGGCCGCCGGGCGAGGGGCGCGGGGCGCGCGCCCCCCGAGGGGCCCGGCGGGGGCGCGGGGGCGCGGGGGGCGCGGGCCGCCTCACCTTCTGCGCCGCGCTCTGCTGCAGCACGTTCTGCTCCACGGTCATGGCCCCCGCGGCGCCGGCGGCGACTCGGGCGCCGGCGTCCGGGTCCTCGCGCCTCCGCCGGCCCTGGCGGCCGCGCTCCGCCGAGCCCCAGGGGGCGGCGCGGGCTGCGGGGGAGGACGGCGCCCCCGCCAGCGAGGCGCGCGGGCGATGGCGGCCGCCGCGCTCGGGCGGCGCGGGCAGGCGGGCGGGCGCGGGCGCGGGCGCGGGCGGCGCGGGCCACGGCGGCGGCGGCCCCACGGCAACGCGCGGCCGCCTCAGCGGGGCTCGGCCGCCGCGGCCCGGGCCATGGGCGGGCGGGAGGGCGCGAGCGGGTCGGGCGGCGTCGCGCGCGCGCTCCTTCGCCGGCCGCCCGCGGGCCACTGCGGGGAAGGGAGAGGGGACGGAGGGAGCGGCCGGCCGAAATGGCGCTGTCCTCCTCCCGCCGCGACTCCTCCTCCGCCCCTCCCCGTCCCCAACCGCCGTCACGGCCCCCGCCCGGCGGCTCCGCCCCCGCCGGGCCCCGCCCGCCGGCCGTCCTAACCCTACATTGTGACCCGCGGGGCGGCGGGGCGGGGCGGGGCGGGGCGGGGCGGGGCGGGGCGGTGGGCGGGGCCTCCACAGAGCCCCGGCCCCGGCCCCGGCGGTCCCCGGGTGAGGCGAGGGCGCGCCGGCGGGCGGGGCCTATGAGCCACCCCGGAGGCCGGAGGCGCGAAGCCCGTCGCGGGCTCGCAGAGCCCCGAGTCCAGGCGGGGCGGGGCGGGGCGGGGCAGGGCGGGGCAGGGCTGGGCTGGGCTGGGGGCGTGGCCTCCGCGGAGCCCCGCCCCCGCCCCGGGCCCGGCGGTCCCCGGGTGGGGCGAGGGCGCGCCGGCGGGCGGGGCCTATGAGCCACCCCGGAGGCCGGAGGCGCGAAGCCGGTCGCGGACTCGCGGAGCCCCGAGTCCAGGCGGGACGGGGCCGGGGGGCAGCGCGCCTATCTGCTCCCGGGGCTTGTCCCAGCGCCCACTTTCCGAGCATCTCCGAAACTAACGTTTCCGTCCAGGCCCTGTCCGTGTCCCAAAATGACGCTGGTTCCGAACTCTGGCGCCTGTCTCTGTCAGGCGCGCTCCCCTCGACTTTCTAGGAATTTCACGAGTAATAAAGTTGTCCGAAGGGAACAGTCAAGTGTGATTTAAGAAAAGGGCTGTCGGAAGTTCTTATCCTGCCATGTGCTTTAGTCCTTAATCATTACATAGATGCGTATTGACATTTCCCCTCTTTGTTCATTCAAACATGTGCCAGTCACTGCTAGGCTTGGCAGAAAGGAGATTTATTTCTAGAAGACAATGTAAGTAAATGAAATATGACCTATGTAGCAAACAGCGTCAAAGTATCCCTGCTTCCGTGATACTTAACTGTAACATCTCTGTTGCCAAACAATTATTAGAAACTACCATGCATGGAATACTTGCCTAAATAATGAGATTGTACGGAACAGTTAACAATCAGGAGGCAATCTATAGCATCACACATACCTTGAGTTTCTTAAAATAATCCAGGAATAAGAGATGAGGGTGTTGGGGAATGAAGGGGCAGAATGATACGTGCATATTGTCATATACACAATAGGCTCATTCGAATCCGTGTGTAGTTTTAAATCCACTGACCAGAAAAGCAAGTTTGGTGAACGATAACTGAAATATCTGGCTTTTATTTTATAATCATGAATCATAGTTACTCAAGACTTTGTGATAAATCTCTGCACTTTGCAATCATGCACCTTATTAAATATGTTTTGCTGACTTTTCATTTTTTTTCCTTCAATCTTCGTATTTATTTGCTCATTTGATTTTGACAACTGACAAGTTTTTATTGCTAGCTTATGTTTTTGTCAAAAGATCTTTAAAAAGTTGTAAAATCTTTGGGAACCCAGAGTTTTAGGAACAATGCAACAGTTCTGATGAAATGCACAATTTTTATGAGAATACTGAGACCCAAAGAGGGTAACTTGTCAAAGATAACATAGTAGAGCTCATTTTATCTCAGTTATAGACCAAAGTTCTTTCCAACATAGCAACTTGATGTTTCTCTATTGTTATGGATTTTTTTTAATCTATCCCTTTTACAACATTTGAACTTAAATGGTTTTAAATTCAACTTAAAATTCTAGTATACACACACACACACACACACACACACACAAAGATACTAAAGTTTAGTTTCAAGAATTTGGCAATAAATATTTCTCTGAGTAAAATTTTTTAGTCCCACAAAAAATATATATCTTACTAACACCAGATAATTATCAAATGAAGATCTTTATAGGGTAGTAATGCTTGCCCACTTTTACCATTCCTGATGGTTCCCTATTTACTAAAAAAAATTAAAATTAAAAAAAAAAAAACTTGTTTTGTAGACTCTGAGAAGAAAATTTCAAGCTTCCTTATAGACATTCTTTTTTTAGAAAGCTTACAATTGGAATTAATAATTAGAGAATGCAAATTTGAGAATTTGAAATAAATTAGAAAACCCATTGCCAGATTCCCTAATTCTTTTCAAAAGCATGTTCCAGTGTCATTTCTCCTGCTGTCAATCAGCCCTAATATGAGAGAGTATTAGAATTAGACATCCTCAGGATATGATTTAAAAATTGCTTAACTGTTGCATTACTTTGTATAGAATCACTTGTTCCTTTTGCCTTGAACATTCACAAAGGCATCTTTGACCCTGAAGATGACTTAGAACCCCAAACCCTTTCTTATTTCTTAGCTTTCTTCTCTTTCTATAATAGTAGGAACATATTTCCCTGAAATCGTCCTATTAACAGAGAAAGCTACATATATACAAATTCCAAAAAATAACCCAAAGTTGGGGAATGCTTGCTTGGTGATTTAGGGCTAGTTATCTGAACTTCTGTATAATTCTTGCCTATGTGGTCAGGTACACTCCTTGACTTCTATTACTTGGCTCTCAATCCAGGGAAGACTACCCTTACATGTCCCATGCTCATAAGTCATCGGCTTCAGAATGGATTTGGCCAATGAGAGGCATAGGGGGGGTTTTGAAAGATGAGAGAGAGAAGCCAGGATATTTCTTTTTGTCTTTTTCCCTCTCCTCTTGGATGTCATCACCTTGAGCTCTATCTCTGTGATGGTTCCAGCTCACATCAGACTGGCCTACACTGTTTCACATGATCCCCCTGGTAAGGAAGATTCCTGACTCTGGAAATTTTGCCCTCTTCCATCCTTCCTCCAAACTAAGAGTCATAATTATTTCTTGCTATTGCCAAACTCTAAATTAACTCACTGTCCTCATCTGACCTTTCAGCTCTTTCATTACCTGTAAAACCAGTTGTTTTAATTAAGTATCACTTGACTTGAATATTTAGAGTATTCTGTTTTTCTGACATAAGCTTTACTGAGGTATATTCTATGGGTCAGTCTGTCATCTGTAAAATGAGAATAATAATATAGGATTATTTTGATGAGTAAACAATTAAACACATGTAAAATACTCGAACATTGTTAGGCATAAAGAAAGCAGAAATAGTTGTAGCAAGGTGTGTGCTACTACTGTAATTAGGGCTTTCTTGTGACCTGTAATTTGAGAAATAACCATTAGATGAATGCAGAGGACAATTAGTCAGTTGTTCTTGAATAATTCTGAATCTAGGAAAACACAAAAAGCAGAGCTAAGTGAGGTCAGTTTACAAAATGTGATGATTTGGGACTGTCCCATTGACATTTCTATAATAGCTCAATACATCAAATCATGTACAAAAGAACTTGTTTAGTCCTAGGCAGTCATTTTGCCTCCAGTTTCAGACCCTGGATGATTATTTGTGTTCTTACATAGATAGTAAAAAACGGGTGTCAATGTCGTTAAATGTCAATGTCTTTAAATCAGAAATTTATTTTGGGGCAAAGGATGCCAGTAGCCACTAGAAAAAAAAGGAAAACAATTTAAATATTAGGCACAAGTTCTACTTTTTATTGTATTCTGCAAAATGATGTTTATATTGAGTGTATGCTCATAAGTGTAATTAAAATGAATTTATATGCAACTTTTTAAAAAATCTCCTTTGCTACTTTCTAGACTTTCAGAAGGCCTTTCAGGGCTTTCAAAATAATTTTTCTCATAAAATAATGTGTGTATGTGCATAGATAGATAGAATAATCTACTATTATCTCAACATACTCTCTTGTTCTTCTTATCATCAGTAACAATGCATGAATTTTTTTCTATGTGGAGGTTAATTAAATATTTCTGTTCAGGGCCTCCCTGGTGGCACAACCTATGAAGCTATCCACAGTCACTGCATCATGAGTTCAATCCCCACCAGGGAGATACCCAGATGGCGTAGCAGACCTCTCCTGACTTACCCGCTGCTCCTCTCAGCGGTGTATTTCAGTTAGTTTGCCTGTTCTGTTCCCCACTCTGTCTCTGGTGAATCTTCTCATCCCCCGCATCTCTGGCCTGTACCCCAGCTCTTGTATGCATAAATAAATAAATCTTTTTAAAAAATTCTGTTCAAATCTATCATAGTCTTTATTTTGGGCAATCATATTATAAACATCCATAATGATAATGGGAATAATGACTGGTAATAAATCCTGTGTAAATGAAAAATAGAATAGTGTATTGAAATCCTACTGATTTCAATCTCAGAACCTCCCCTCTAAGACTGGCACTACTGCAAAGTGAGTTCTACCTTCCTATTGGGGGGCTAGGGAGGAGGTGAAAGGGGCTGTGATTTTTTTTTAGGGCCCAATACAAGTTTCTATACACTTACTGTGGGCCAAGACCTTTACCCTTCAAGCAATTTTGTCTTTACAATAGTCCCATGAAGTTGGAATTGTTATGCTTTTTTCACAGAAAAGGAAACTGTGACTCATTGTTTAATTAGTGTACCCAAGGACACACACCAAAACATATCAAATCATTTTAACCCAGGTAGGCTATCTGTTGGACTTCAGCACTTCTGCATTTAAACCCCCTACATTGTAGACCTGCAGTTTTCCTTTTCTTCTTCCTCCACTCCTCCTCCTTTCCATCGCTTCCTCTTTTTCTTTTCCTACTCCTCTTCCTTATTGAGGTAACATTGGCTACAACACTGTATATTTGAGAAGTACAGGATCACACACCCCTCAGGGGTATGTTACCACACCCCACCCAGCACCAGGACACCCATTGTTTTCCTGTGTAGCACATTTTGCTCCCTCTGAGCTTTGCCCTTTCCTCTTCCCCTCCCCTTCTTTATTTTTTTAAAGATTTATTTATTTATGCATACAAGAACTGGGGTACAGGCCAGAGGTGCCAGGGTTGAGAGGATTCACCAGAGACAGAGTGGGGAACAGAACAGGCAGATTGACTGAAGTACACTGCTGAGGGGAGCAGCGGGTAAGTCAGGAGAGGTCTGCTGCACCCTGTGGGTCACCTCCCCAGACAG